GTATATATATATATATATATATATATATATATATACCCTTGAAAAGTGTTTTTAAAAATGTTACATACACATTACACACGCGATTGCACTAGCAAAATGGTCACACATTCTTCAAGCCATCTTACCATTTTGTAGTTTATACATGACTGAATCTTCTTTATTGAACTGTCTATATCATGTTTGTTTGGGTTTGTAGAGAAATAACTCTACTCAGGTAAACTCCAATTCCACAGTGTTCATAGAGCTGGCAACTGACACTAAAGTATTACAAAAATAGTGCGATAATTCTGGCGTCTGATTTTAAAGCATTATAATAGTTTCTTAATGTAGTAATGGTTTCTATTGTTGGGTGGCTTCTTTTGAAATATTCGGTAAAAATGGATAAATGATGAAAAGAAACGTTTTGTTTATTCAACTTCCGCGTTTAACAAGTCCAACGTTCACTGACGGTCTAAACTTTACAAATAAACTACGTTTTACAAAAATTCGACTTGTTATCATCGGACTTGTAAGATACAGTTAAACTTTCTTCCGCTAAATAAATACATTTCTGCAAATATCTCGATTATAAATATCGATTACATTACACGATTAAAATAGGGTGTTACTAAATACTCCACTTACAGATTTACCAATAACGCATATCTTATTTTATTAATGCTTATTTTACTGAACATTCACCACAGTGTTTAACTAATCTTTAATTTATGTTTGCTTGTTTTTCTTTTAATTTCGCGCAAAGCTACACGAGGGCTATCTGCGCTAGATTTTAGTCTACTAGAGGGAAGACAGCTAGTCAATCACCACCCACCGCCAACTCTTGGGCGAATTGACTGTCACATTATAACGCCCCCACGGCTGAAAGGGGACGGGGATTCGAACTCGCGGATTGCGAGTCGAGCTCCCTAACCACCTGCCCATACCAGGCTCTTTAATTTATAATAAAAGGGAAAACATGACATGAACTCAATCTGACAGGGTGAATGGTAAAGTAAAAAAAAAAAAAAAATCGACCAAATTCAAAAGATTTAACGAAACTGTTCAATGTGTAAGACACATTTATTACTTGGGTTTGCCAGTATATTTCAAGAAAAGGATTTTCAAAAGTCAAAGTAAGCGTTAAATAAGAAAAAATTCGACCACATTCAATTGGTTAACGAAACTGTTCAATGTGTAAGGCACAGTTATTACAGTACATTAACTAAATAGATTTTAAGCAGTAAAATGTATATACAAAGCTTATAGTTCTTTGTAAAAAAAAAAATGCATTATGATATTCTGTTTTACATTACAGGTTACTGCCATCGGATTTCTAAGTTACCAGTATTTTAGAAGATTCATTGTTAGTTTGGGATGATATTTCGTCTTTTGATGTTGCTAACAGAAGTCGTGGATTATGGTGTGGAGTGACACTAATATATATATATATATATATATATTTGGTGAACACACACTGTCAGTCACTAGGTCTGTAAAAAAGTTCATTGTATATGTAATTCAAATGTTTTCAAATATTAGAAGTTGAAGAAGACTTCTGTTACATTTATTTATTACAAACGTTACCTAAAGACTGTGTATAATAATACAGAAAATTAATCCATGTTGTAACTTTTAACAATAAGAGCGTGTTGTAATAGTACAATGTAACAAAAACAGGTTTTACACACATTGTAAAATTTTCTTTTAGCCTCATCAATTGCTTTTTAATATATGTATGTTTATTAGATAAACTAATACGAACTAATCTTTGTTATCAAATACTATTTGAAAGGTTTTGTCACGACTGGAAATGCGTTTCATTGAGCCTACTTTGTTTCGTGTACAACAAAACATTAAACACTCGTTACCTCTCGGTATATTCATAGAAGGCACTCCATTGTTGTTTTTCGTGTATTATTTACTATGTACGGACAATGTTTAACGTCCACATTTCCTCATTTTAAAACTTGCGTTTTCATTGAAATTATCAGTGCTACAGGTTTCGTTGCTCATTGGTCGTGTTTTTGCTTACATTAGTAGTGCAAAGGTAATTATGACTGTTCTTATAGGGGGTTCCGTGGCTGATAGGTAATGTTTTTGTCCTCATTGCAGATGCAGAGCGTAGTAAGACTTTTGTTGCAAGATATTTTGTGGCTGGTTGGTAGTTTTTTTTCTCTAAATTACAAGTGCAGAGAGAGAAGCAATAGTTTTTACAGGATGTTTCGCGAGTTACTGGTGTGGAGAGGGGAAGTAAAACTGTTGATGCAGAAGGTTTCACGGCTGATTGGTGGTACTTTTGTCCACCCTGTCAGTGCAAAGTGGGATGTAAGGTTGTTTTTACGAGAGGTTTTGCGGCTGATTGTTAAGCGATTTTGTAAGTTACAACTGCAGAGATGGATGCAAGACTGTAGCTTGCTACAGGAGGTTTTGTTGTTGATTGGTATTATTTTTGTTAATTACGGGAGCCGAGAAAAAAAAAAGACTATTACGACAGGTTTCGGGGGCTCGTTGTTGGTGTTTTTGTACAATGTCAGTACAAAGAGGGGGGTAAAACTGTTGTTTCATAAGAGCTCGTGGTCGATTGACTTTTTTGTTGTTTAAATGAAAAGTTCAAAGAAGATTGCTTTAGCACAGATATACACAATGGTTTACCTGCGCTCTGAAAATCGACCCCCGATATTAGCACTGTAAATTCGGCAACTTACCATTGACTCACTGGATGGCGTTTAGAGAACAAATTGCGATTGTTACAGAAACTTTCATGGTCGATTGGTGGTGTGCTTTTTTTCTGACAGTTTTAGACTTATTAACTGTATGTTTCAGATGTTAAGTGTTTAACGTGTTTCATTATATACATGTATTGTAATAAAATGTTCATAATTATAAAACGAACCGCGTCTGTCTATTTTATTTTTGAGAATTGAAGACTTAAAAAACAAAATCCCAACAAATTAAAAATGCTCATACTCAAAAGTTTGTTTGTATTGAATTTTGTGCAAAGCTACACAAGGGCTATCTGCACTAGCCGTCTCTAATTTAGCAACAAAAAACCAGAGATAGGGCAGCTAGTCATTACTACCCACCGCCAATTCTTGGGCTGCTCTTTTACCAACGAATAGTGGGACTGACTGTCACATTATAACGCTCCCACGGCTGAAAGGGCCAGCATGTTTGGTGGGGCGGGGATTCGAACCCGCGACCCTCAGATTGCGAGTCAAGCGCCCTAACCACCTGGTCCGTACTCAAAATAACAGCAATTATTTTAAGCTCTGGTTAAATCAGAAATGCCACATTAAAAAAAATATCGTTATACACCACTAATTCCAATAGTAATCTTCTAAAGAAAAAAAAAATCATCATCATTTACTGTACTTGAAGCATTCAACTTATAAACTGTAGTAAGTTATACAATCCTGTTTCTTTGTAAAGTTAAAAGAGAAAGAAAGTCACATTTTTAACATGACGAGCATTAATCTTCAATATTATTTATTTTAAAACTATGGATAAACAGTTCGTAGTTGTGAATTTTAACTTTCATGTTGGTACCATTCGAAATGTATTGTAAAATATATTTTATTTTAAACAGCAGGTTCAAAATACTAGTCTGGTAGTGGAAGATAAACTTATTATGTAATACGGTTACTATAAAACAATGTATTTAGTGTAGCACTTGTGTAAAACAATGGATTTCATATATCAAGTGTGTTAAAAAATGTGGTTATAACACTTATTATAGTGAAGTACTGAAATCGTATTTTTTTAGTCAAAATCATAGATCTTAAAAATTTGTATTTTTGTATAATTCTATAAAATAAAAAAAAAACCTGAAATAAATAACTCAGCAAGTCGACAAGAAATGTTTCGTAATCTCAGGAAAACTCTTCTAGCTGGAATTGGTGTTTGTTGGTGGTGCAGAAAGATCCCCACCAATGAGGATTTCTGTTGTTCATGGGTAACATTCTCAACGATATAGCTTGCACAACGCCAAGAAAAGATTTCTGTAGTTTTATGGGCAATACTCTTGTCCGATATAGTTTTATAACCAACAGACCAGTTTAACTTCTGTGTGTTAATCAGATACATATTTCACGAGACACGCTAGACTTAGATATGCAGTTAGAATTTTATTTTACAAAACATATTTAAAATGCATACAGTTAATACGCTTCATTTCTCTCTTATGATATAACATCAGCAATCATTTAATACACGGACTTTACCAGTGATTATGAATAATAATACAGTCATTTCTAAAATCACCTCAAAAAGTCAGGGTTATAGTTTCAAATTTGATTTTGGTTAAGTTTATTATTTATGGCCAAGAAAGTTGTAACAGAAAAGGGTTTGTACACAGTATTTTTCAAACTTAACTTTCGTAAAGCTTATTACTTATGACACATAGTAGTTTTATCTTGAAGTTATTTATATATTTAACGCGTAATTTTCACAATCACTGATATGTCTTAATGATATTACTTTACAAACCAGCATTATTATTATCATGAACAAAACAAACATTTCGTATATTTAGCACCTTATGTTTTTATAAATATCACTTTAAAACAAAAGCTGATTATTCTTTACTTTAACTAACGATCTTAATCTTCAATCGGCATTTTGCATTTCGAAAGTAGAGAAAAAAAAAACGAATCCGTCACAAAAATTCATCGATTGTACAGATCTGTGATGTGAACATATGATTTGTAATTATAACAGCTCTGCCCATAAAATTAAGAATCTTATATAAAATGATGAAGCAGGTGTTGCCCGATTGTGCTATCCCGAGCAGAATGCTAATTAAAATTTTCTTTGGGAAATCGAAACTTTTAAGAAACGTAGCTAACGACCAAGTTAGCTGGTTTCAAAAGTCTGGGACCGTTCGCGATATTACGTTATCTTTTGATATGCTGACAATATGAACTTACCTTAATATAAGCTCACAAAGAAAACAAAATCATATTTCATTTCGTAAATCGTCAGTTAAAAATTGCTTTAAAGATCTTGGTTCTGCTGCCTACCTATTACATTTGAATATTTTGTTAAACATCTTTCAGTATATGTGTATACTGTACTCGACAATAAAAATACACGCTGTATTAAATATTGTTCCATGTTCGGACCTTACAAGCATGTGTGAAATATAGGTTGTTCGTGGCGACATTGTACTTTTATTCTGCTACAACTAACCATACAGTATTATTTCAGATTTCATGGAATGTAAGTTGACGTAATTTTACGTACACTTCTTTTATGGCTTTCTTTATATATACACCACATTTAGCACAATAAAATGAAATACATGCGGTTTTGATCTCAAAATGAGTTTTAGTTAACATTTTTAAGGGCAGAATATTCACAAGCTTCAGAAAATCGTGACAACTTTTCAGCAATGAATTTAGCTACAAACAGCTGAAAACAAAAAATGATAATAATAAAGAGGAAACTTCATGCCACAAAGAAATGGTAAACAGATATTTTAAGGTTCACAACGTTTCGGTTCTATTAAGGTTTAAAATCACAAGCGAAAGGGCGTCTTCCCAGCCCGAAACGTTGCGAATACTGAAATAACTATTTGTTTGTAGTATAACATCATTCCATTTTTTTTTTTACTTTCGATTTAATCGTACTACAGAAACCTTTCTCTGTTTTTTTTTTCGGTTGTTCGTCAATGTTCAGTTGTAGAGTAATACGAAAGATTCAACAAATAGTACTAAAATTAAATATTTGAACTCGATCTGATCTTACCAAACGTTGTAGGAAAGGAGAGAACGGTAAAGAGTAAAAGGTAGGAATGAAAATGTTATAACATTCTGAAACAGCATAATGGAAAAAATTGTTTTAATAGTTAACTATACTTATGCGAGATGTTTCTGTTCATTCCAAGGTTATTAATCGGATAAAAACGTCAATAACATTCTAGACTTTCGCACTCCTCTTTGTCACGGTGGGTAAACTAATGAAACAAAAACGAAAATTTTACAATATCCATCTATCTAGTGTTTCGCCATATTTTAAGATATACAACTTCGAAGGTAAGCTTGGATGAGGTCGAGGTATGATGTTGCATTTCACCTTAACACCAAACAACACCGCAACAGAACAGGGCATTGGTTTTCATACTTTTGTCCAAGCAATACCTGATTTTAAAATATACTGGCAGACCACAGTGAGATCTATACAATATGCAATTTTTCACAAATCAGCTGAAGTTTTTTTGTTGAATTTTTTGCAAAGCTACTCGAGGGTTGTCTGAGCTAGCCATATCTAATTTAGAAATGATAAACTAGAGGGAAGGCATCTAGTCAACAATACCCAACGCCAATTCTTAAGTTACTCTTCATCAACAACAAAAGTGGGATTGATCGTCACTTTATAATGCCCCCACGACTTAAAGGGTGAGTATGTTCGGTGACAGGATGCAAACTTGCGACCTGCAGCTTGAGTCGAGCGTCCCAACCACCCAGTCACGCGAGAAACCGTCTGATGAGAGCTCGTAGACCACAGATTGGAAAATGCTGATGCAAAACACCAACACTACTCTGTAAGGCATTGCTGGTAGCTAGCTTCAGCCAGAACTCCAAAACAGAACACCGACAAATCGAAAAGTATTTTTATTTGTTAATTTAGAGACATTGAATTGCACACAATTAATGGACATAAATGACAATTAAAAGGTTTGGGTAAATAACGTTAACAGCCTCTTTATCTACACATCAGACAAAATTATGTTTAAAACAAAATGTTAAAAAAAACATTCGGCTCTTTATTAACTCACTTTAACTTTTTATATTTTAAAATTAATTTTCTCTAGTACGTCAGTGAAAAGATTATCATCAATTAATGGATTTTGAAACATCAATGTTTTGTCGACACAAATGTAACTTAGAGCTAAATAAGGGAAGAAAAACCAAACTTACTGAATTTGCTAAGCTTCTCTGGCTACGTTCTTTTTCTATCCTTACAAAAAATTTTTGTTGTTTAAAATGACCTTTCTACCCTAAGGTTCAGCTATTTTATTAATGTAACGTAATTAATTCACAAAGATATTACAAATAATATTTCACTGTCACAAAGATATTGCAGGTCATGCTTGACTGTCACAAAGACGTTGCTACTATACTTTTCAGCAGTGTTTTTTGAGTTAAAGACAAGAGTAACACAACAATGACATATTAGAGAAATCAAACATTTTGTCCGAGCTATAAATATACTTGTGTATTTACAATCATTCTTATACCATGAAATTACAGATTAAAAATCAAAGGCTTTTAGTCAAAAATGAGGTAATGAAATTTTAATAATACAATAAATACTACTCTAAAACAAATCGAAGGAGAGAGAGAGGGAGGGGGGGGTTATGGATACATGGCGCACGCTTTACTCGTAAAATAGTTGTTCTCACATCTGATATGGTACATTCGAAGCCGTACAGCGCAGCAAGCTTGGAAATTTGCATAAACGTATCAATACTGAAACAATGATAAGTGTTTGAAAAGTTCTGATTATTACTACAGACATAAAACAGTAATGGTTTAATTTACGACCGAAGCTTGAACTACAAGTTTCCAATTAGAACTAGAGATAACACTTATCAGCTGAAGAGCGGTATCACATATCACAATCGACTACGAAGAAGCCCAGTCTCAGCTCCACCAGCTGTTTTCGCTGGCACTAAAAAAAGCAATTCTGAATTACCAAATGGCGTACTAACAGTAGGATGACCTCCTGTGTGAACATCTCCAACTAGAGCTTGCAATGTTGTGATTAGAAATAGTACTTTGAAATGCCCGAATACTTAATGGATTTTACTTGAAAGGGCATGCTAATTTATAAACCGTTATGTTTAAGTACAAGTTTTGTTTAAAGAACAAGGGACGCTGTTCTTCAATCTATAACAAAAATGTAATGTTGCAGTAATATATACCCAACGGTTCAGTTTCATGAAGTCAAATAACTAAAATCATAACAGTTTAATTACAAACACTGAGAAATAATTTTTAAGTTGAATGTTACCATTACAAAAGTATTCAATCAAAAGTTCACAGTTACCTCTGAAAACTACTGCCAATTATAAGTATTTTCCCTAACTTTATAGCGCAAAGCACCCAATTTGACTATTTCGAGTAGAAAATGCTACAAATTTATATTTTATGTTGTAATTAGTGTCAACAAATACTTCAAGTTTCATTTAACTTATTGATGCAAATCATGAACACCATTCAAGCTGTATTCAAAGAAACTCTGTTTGTTGAATTTCGAGGTATAATTTAGAAGTGACAAAATGTGGGATTGACCGCTACATTATTAAGCCACCATGGCTGAAAGGGCAAGCATATTCGGTGACGGGATCCGAACTCGCGACCCACAGATTGCCTTAACCACCAGGTCATACCAGTTAATTTCTATAGTAAGAGATCCATAAGAAGTGATGAAACATATATTCAAGCTATTCTCGTTATCACTCGGACCAATTGAGATTGTAGTTAGTCATGTTCCGGTATTTATAAAAACAAAAACATTAATTTTATTAAAACCAATTGCTTTTTATGTCAGGGGAAAGTAAAGAATATCAAATACAAGCTGTTATAGTAGAATTATTTGCTACGCTAGTAGGCTAAAGATTATGAAATATTAAAGACAAAATGCAGAATTATCGACAAATTATACATTTATTTCATGTTTTTAAATTAAGAGCGCAATGATTTATATCGTTTAATAAAATCTGATATATATAGAATATATATATATATATGCGTCTGTGTAAACTATATACAATTATCACTCTTCTGAAAACAGTGAAGACATTGAAAAAATAGCCATTTTTCTCTATAACAAGACTGGTGACCCTTGGAGACGGTTTAAAACCGGTATGTACAACACAGTATTTGCTGGATCACACATGTGAAGTAGTAGGATAAAAGCTGTACGTCGAGAATATAGAAGCCACTATTCATATTTCAACATGCAATAACTTCTACTCTTGCTATATTACTGTCTCTACACTAAAGGACGTAATATTTTCCACTTAATATTAACATCAATTATCCAAGTACTTTCAACCTTGACAACACCATCATGGGTGTACAAATAACTACACAGTTTAAGATTTGAGAATAACAAGTTAAAAAAAAAACAATAACTAAAAACTTAAAATATGTTAAATTAAAAACGTGTAACTTTTTACTACACAACAAAGCTTAGCTGGATATTATACTTTAACAAGGTTTATAATTCCTGTTATAAAATTATAAAAACATTTTCTGCTAAAATGCAGGGTTTTTTTTTACATCACAGTCCAGTGCTTTTACTAACTTATATACATCGGACTTTTTCAAATATTACAGAAAAGGAGTGTACGTTTTAAAACCCACTATAACTGTATGCTACAAAAAGGCATCATTACTGCTTTCAAGCTTGGTCACAGTCTCTTTATCCTAACTGGTTGGTTGGAAAGTACACATCACTGAAAGCACAGGCTTTACATTATCTCTCAACTCAGGTTGTTAATAATCTAAATGTTTCATTATTAGCGAAAAATTACACTCATAAATCTTTAAATTCAGCTCCTTATATCTTTCAGAGAAATGGAACAAATGAATTTATTTCAAAGCACCTACCAGACTGGAAGCAACTATCTGTTGTCTATAAGAAAAACTAGAGTATACTTCATGAAGATACAAAACAAGGTGTGCCCTTAATCTTGGATGAACAGAAATATCCCCATTTCTTCCTTGGGAGATACAATTATATTGTGTAGCACATCCTTTCCAACTACAGTATTGTATTCTTTCACTCTATACATCTTTTATTCATGTACTTAGTTGAACCACTTCATTTACATCCAAGTTTACATTTGGTTCAGGCATATTCTGATTATCAGAAGCTATATTTTTAGCAGAAATATTCAAAGACATAATTTCTGCTGAGATTTTTTGATGACTTTGGTCTTTATCATTAGTTGGTCTCTGGTAATCTTCATCCATTATATTTTCTTCACGACATGCACTTTTAATTGTTTGTTTGAAATAGACATGTTCAACATTTTGATCTTCATATGTGGAATCACTAAATTGTTCTGATCGATCCTGGTAATTCCTGTCTACAAGTTGTTCATATTCCCCACACCTCTCTTCATAACAACAATGATCACTGTTTTTCAATTTAACATTACTAGGTATTTCCCCTTGTTCACTTCTTTCATCACTTTCTTCTTGACAAATTTCCTTATTCTTTCTTTCTTCTTCAACATCATTAAATTTTGATTCTTCCACGTTATCTCTCTTTCCAACTTCATGTGAGTGCTTTTGGTCCTCTTGCTCTCTCAAGATTCCGCTATTACCAAGAACTTCTTGAGACTTGATGATAATTTGTTCTCCTTCATTAAAATTTTCCAATTTCTTCTCACAGTTTTCACTCAATTCTTTATCCAATTTTAATTCTTCAGATAAATGATCCAATGTTTCTTTACAATTTTTATTCAATTCTCTATCCATTTTTTCTTCTTCAGATAAATCTCCCAATCCATTTTTAACCAATATTAATTCTTCAGTTAAATTTTCCAATCCTTTCTCATAGTTTTTCATCAATTCTTTATTAAATTTTTCTTCTCCCAACAGATTTCCTATTCTTTTCTCACTCAATATTACTTCTTCAGATAAATATACCTGTCCATTTTCATCTAATTTCTCTACTTCATTTGAAATTTCCTTTCCTTTTTTACAGTTTTCTTTCAATATTTTTTTATACCTTTCTTCTTCTTTCATATGTTCAATTTCTTTCTCAAAGTTCTCCACCAATTCTTTGTGAAATTGTTCATTATCAGTCTGTTTTTTTAGTCCTTCTTCAGAATTTTCCTTCAGTTCTTTCTTTTCCAATTTTTCTTCTTTTGTAAGATTTTCTACTTTTGTGTCACCGCTTTTCTCAAATTCTTTTTTATCCAATTTGTCTTCCTCCATTTTCAACCCCTTTTCCTTCTCATCCAAGATGTTCTCATCAGTTAGGTTTTTCAATATTTCCTCAGAACTTTCCTTCAATTTTGCCTCATTCTTTCTTTCTTTTTTATTTAACTGAATTCCTAATTTATTTTCAGAGTCATGTTTCAATTCTTTCTCAAGCAATAAATGTTCTTCAACATTAATCAATTCTTCCCAATTGTGTTTTTCTTCTCCTTCCATTTTCTTCATTTTTTCTTTCAAATTTTTATTCAATGTTTCTTCATTGTTTTCTTTTCCATCCAAATTTTCCCATCCCGTCTCACACTTTAATTCTTTCTTGTCCTCTTTTTCCTCCATACTTTTGAATTCAGCCTCATCACTTCCCTCCATTTCATTCTTATTCATGTTTTCTAATTCTTTCCCAAAAATTTCTTCTAATTCTTTATCCTCCTTTTCATCTTCATTCATATTATACAATCCCTTTTCAAAACTTTGATTTAATTCTTTGTTATCCTGTTCTTCTTTCTTCATCTTGTTGAGCCCTTTTTCCAAAATTTCATTTAATTTATTTTGTTCTTCTTTATCCATATTATCCAATACTATTCCCAACTTTTCATTTAATTCTTTGCTCTTTTGTTCTTCTTTATACACACTGCCCAATTCCTTTATAAAGTTTTCATTTGATGTTTTGTCATCCTGTTCCTCACTGTTCATCTTGTCAAACTCTCCTCCCAAATTTTCATCTAATTCTTTGTTATCCTGTTGTTCTTTATTTATACTTATCAAACCATTTTCAAAGTTTTCATTTAATTCTTCATTGTCATGTTTTTCTTTATCCATACTGTCCAATACTTTTTCAAAGTTTTCATTTAATTCTTGGTTATCCTGTTCTTGTTTATTCATGTTGTCCGATCCCTTTTCAAAGTTTTCATTTAATTCTTTGATATAACATTCTTCTTTATTCATACTTTTCAAACCATTTTCAAAGATTTTATTTAATTTTTGGTTATCTCGTTCTTCTTCACTCGTACTGTCTAATACTTTTTCCAAGTCATTCATACTTTCCAAGCCATTTTCAGAGTTTTCACTTAATTGTTTGTTATCTTGTTCTTCTGTATTCATCTTGTCAAACCCTTTCTCCAAATTATCATTTAATTCTTTACACCATATTCCTTTGTTCATTTTGTCCAATCCCTTTTCATTTAACTCTTTGTTATTCTGTTCTTCTTCATTCGTACTGTCATATATTTTTTCACAATTTACATTTAATTCTTTGGTATCCTGTACTTCTATTTTCTTCTTGTCCAATCCTTTTTCCAAATTTTCATTTAGTTCTTTATCCATACTATCTAATCCTTTTTTAATCTTATTTAATTCTTTGCAACCCTGTCCTTCTTCGTTAATCTCGTCTAGTCCTTTTTTAACGTTATCATTTAATTCTATGTTACCCTGTTCTTCTTTATTCACCTTGTCTAATTCTTTTTCAGTGTCTTTATTCAATTCTTTGTTATTCTGTTCTTTATTCATCTTGTCCAATTCCTTTTCAAAGTTTTGATTCAATTCTTTGTTACCTTGTTCTTCTTCATTTATCTTATCCAATTCCTTTTCACATTTTTCATTTAATGCTTTTTTACCCTGCTCTTCATTCATCTTGTCCAATTCCTTTCCAAAGTTTTCATTCAATTCTTTATTATCCTGTTCTTTTTTACTCATGGCCAATCCTTTTTCCAAATTTCCATTTAATTCTTTGCAATCTTGTTCTTTTTTATCATTACTGTCCAGTCCTTTTTCAATGTTATCATTTAATTCTTTGTTATTTTGTTCTTCTTCTTTCATCTTATCCAATTCCTTTTCAAAGTTTTCATTTAATTCTTTGTTATCCTGTTTTTCTTCAGTCATCTTATCCAATTCCTCTTCACAGTTTTCATTTAATGCTTTGTTACCGTGTTCTTCATTCATCTTGTCCAATTCCTTTTCAAAGTTTTCATTGAATTCTTTGTTATCCTGTTCTTTTTTACTCATAGCCAATCCTTTTTCCAAATTTTCATTTAATTCTTTGCAGTCTTGTTCTATTTTATCATTACTGTCCAGTCCTTTTTTAATGTTATCATTTAATTCTTTGTTACCCTGTTCTTCTTCATTCATCTTGTCCAATTCTTTTTCAAAGTTTTCATTTAATTCTTTGTTATCCTGTTTTTCTTCATTCATCTTATCCAATTCCTTTTCACAGTTTTCATTTAATGCTTTGTTACCCTGTTCTTCATTCATCTTGTCCAATTCCTTTTCAGTGTTTTCATTCAATTCTTTGTTATCCTGTTCTTCATTCATCTTGTCCAATTCTTTTTCAGTGTTTTCGTTCAATTCTTTGTTATCCTGTTCTTCTTCATTCATACTTTCCAATCCTTTTTTGAAGTTTCCAATTAATTCTTTGTTATCTTGTTCTTCTACTTTGTTGATATTATCTAATCCTATTCGAAGATTTTCATTTAACCATTTGTTATTCTGTTCTCCTTCTCCATCTTCATTCATGTTGTGAAAACTTTTTTCAAAGTTTTCACTTGATCCTTTATCTTGTTCTTCTTCATTCATCTTGTCCAATTCTTTTTCAGTGTTTTCGTTCAATTCTTTGTTATCCTGTTCTTCTTCATTCATACTGTCCAATCCTTTTTTGAAGTTTTCATTTAATTCTTTATCTTCTTCTTCTTCTCCATCTTCATTCATGTTGTCAAATCTTTTTTCAAAGTTTTTATTACCCTGTTTGTTATCTTCACTCATATGGTCTAATTTTTTCCCAAAGTTTACATTCATTTCTCTTTTATTGTGTTTGTTTTCTTCTTCTTCTTCATTGAGATTTTCTAAGTTACTCTTGTGTTCTTCCCAATTTTTGTAATTTTCCTTTACTTTTTTCCCCCATAGCTCCTTCTCTTTAACATTATCTGTATCATTTTTTATATAGTCTCTCTCAGTGTTATGGACACAACACTCCTCTATATTTCCTTCTACATCACTTTCAGTTGTATTTACTATATTTTTTTCTCTATCCTTCCATTCTTGTCCCAGCTCAATTTTTTCTGTATCCTTATCTTCTGATTCCTCTTTATGATAGTCCTCTTCTATATCATGTACATCATTAGTATTCACCTCCTTTATTGCATCTGTAATAAAAGGTATTTCAAATAAATTTTATAGCTGTCAATATTCAATTGATTAATCTGCTTAATGTAAGACAATGTAGTCTACCCTAAAAATCCAAAATAACTCTTGGGAACTAGAAATAGTGTAGGCTTTAAAAAAACAACAACACATGAAGATTTATGCTAAAAGCTGTTTGAAAAGAAATGATAATAGTCAACTAAGGGCAAAAAGAACTGTGGATGCACTGACTAAGTCTACCTCTTGAAGGAAGGAGAGGAGCCAGGAGATTATTTATTCAATATAAAAAAACAAATAACAACAAAAACACACACACACACCTGCTCTTCAACCTCTAAATGTCAACATCACATTACCATTTGGTGTAAAAAAAAGTCTGAGTGATACTGAAAATTAAATCCATTCAAGGTTTTGCTCCAAGGCTGCGTGTATCCATAACAGTATCTTAGGGAGCAAAATCTACAATTTGAATTAACGAGGTAAAATCTAAACCTGTAATTTTGAAACCAGCAAAAACAGAGTACACTAATTATTTCATAAAAAAAAAAAATTAGCAGTTTCAACATCAGTGGTCCATTAACTTAAAATAGGGCATCAGCCATTTGAAGAAAAAGTTTTTTCCTAGTATTGAAGCTAAAAAAAGCCTGTAGTATCAAGTAGTTTGATTTACTTGTTTTTGTTTGTTTGTGATAGTTATGATGAGCATGTTGTAAACACAGTTTAATTTTTTTTTTTACTTAAATAGATAAATACATGTTGATACAGGCTTCATTATATTCGTGTTTTAATTTAACAACAACTGACTGTGTGATTTTCATCACTGACAGAGATATTTTGTTCAGTGGTTTTGAGCAACTCCTTCCATACAATATTTGTCCAGAATCTTACCTTCATGTTGCAGTTGCAAATCCCATATGCTATATATATGGTATATGTTAGACTTATTCCAATTCATATCTCATAAGATAGTAATTAAGTTAACCACTGACACAGACCACCATGATAAAAATAATATACAACTCATAACTCATTATTTATGTACTTTCCATGCAGAGTAATATCACAATGACATTTCTATCTCTTTATTTTCATAGGCATAATATATTAATCAGTTAAGATGCTATCACACACACCTACTTATCTAGTTTTGTGCTCAAACATTTAGATATATGAACCCAAATTCACCAATACAAAATTTTTTATCCCTTTTACTACAAAAATGAAATATTAGATACTTTTTACAGCTTCAATAAATCAGATATAAATGATAAGCAGTTGAATTTATAGAATAATTTTGCTAGTTTTATATAGTGTGAACCTCTTTACGTTGTCCACTACACACACAATCACTTCTTAAAAACCTTAATTGTAAACTTTCATGAAAAACAAACAAAACAGGAAAGTAATATATATGTACATATGTATATCTACACAGACTAACGAAGATTAATCATGGTTTACAAGAACAGGCCATGTGCTGCCCTTTGAACTACTTCCTGCATCATTAATCTTGGTCAATCTGTTAGATGTGAATATGTACTACAGTCTAACACCACAACATCCATTGCAACAAGTTACTGCAAATTTTAGTAAAGTCAGTCTTCAGTCACACATTTAGATACACTTTTCATAGACCTTCTACTATATGTAAATGTCAGCACCCGAGACTATGTTTAACTCTTGGGCACTGCAGGTCACAGAGTACATGTCACAACCTTTTTCATAGATACATCAGAAATTTAGTTAAACTACTTTATTATCAATGTATGTTAATAAACTTGGCATCAAATAGTTTATAATTAAAATTTTTATATTATCTAAGTTTAATGTTTTAACTTCAAAAAGCAATATTTAAATAAATTCTCAATCTGTACCTCTAGATCACATGTTGCAGTGGTGCTCTGAATTCTCATATATAGATTTATTTCTTCGTTTGTAAAAGATACAGATTGTTCAACAAATAAGAAACACATTATAGATATTGATAAGCCAGAATATAAAATTAACCCATTATCTTCTCGTTTTAACTGAGATATCCCAATATCTGTTCAATTCACATAGCATGCCCTCTCATATCCTGTCTTTTAAGAATTGTCTGATCCTCTCTGACACTGTTATTTGACATGTTTATAACCAATAGCAAGAGCAGATTCTAAACTATGTACATCAGATGATTGTCTTGTTTTAGTGGTCAAACCAACAGTTCACAGGGAGAGCATGATGTTAAAGAAAACAAAATAAATGAAAATGAAACAAAGATCTTGATATTGGAAAAACTAGTTTTGACACATTTGTGTGTCCTCTCTAGTCTCATATTGTCTTCTTGAAAGCATGCTGTGTTTATACTAAAATATTTGGGGAATTTGGTTTTAGCACCTGACATATTTTTTGTTCTATAATTCATATCTGAAAGCTACATGAATTATTTTTGGAGAATCAACATAGTAAAAAAATAGGCTTACTAACCACATACCTGAATGCAAAAGGCCTCAAGGCTAAAGTAGGTGTATTTTTAAAAAAGCGACTCAAATGGAAAAATTCAAAACTTACAATGTTAGATAAGAAAACTAAAAAAAAAAATACATGATTTCTCTTGGTGAAACACATGAGGGCTACCATATCGTGATATAACTAGATAGTTTGTTTACCCTAAGCTCTCTCCAGGCAATTCATTACTTTGTTACCTAGTTAGATATGCTTCAAAGAACGAAAAGATTAAATGAAAGCAGAGTGAAAAGGTTAATTTGCCTAAATAATTATCTGTTAAAATTTGCAGTCATTCAAAAGAAGAAGAAAAAAGGATTTTTAAATTTATTTCACATTTCCAACTTTTTATTCACTGTACAATTATGATTTTTCTACAGTTAGTGTTAGGGTAGAGAAAATAAGAGATCAAGTTATGTATATGAAATAAGCAACTAAGGTAAAAAGAAAGGCACCTTCCACTCAGAATGACTCAGTAAAGGCTTCATAAACTCTCCAAACATTTTTTATAAAAAAATATAAAAATAGTTTATTAAGGTATGACTTTGTGTACAACATACTTGTAACTTTTACTAAAACTTTTCAAATTTTGTGAAGATACACTTGGTACATTGAGTTATGGTATGTATATAATTTCATGGTTACAAGATCAGCCAAATCAACTGAGCCATATCTCAATACAGTTAAGCAGGCCAAAGGCATAAAAGTCCACTAAAGCTAAGCAGACATGTGGTTGAGTGGGATTGCTATTTCATAAAAATTCATTAATTTTAAGGTACAGCTAAAAGCTTGTAAGCACTATCAACTTCTAAATTCTTATTATCTTGTTAATAGTATCAAAAGATATGCCCAGCTTTATTGTAATGGATTTTTGGTTTGGAGGATTTATTTCTTTATAACCATAGTCTTCACTTCGCAAATAACAACACTGTTCTGGATGAGAATAAGATGCAGTTTTGAAGCCCATTACTGCACTAAAAACATTGGCTGTATAAATTTTGTCATTTCCATGAACATGTTGTACCTTTGGCTTTATACTGTTTAACAATCTTGGTATATCAATATTTGATTTTGGAAAGAGCTGACATATTCCTCCAGTGATAGGGCTAGCTTAATTGAATTTCACTTTCAAATGGTCTGGAATTCACCAAAAACCAAATATATGTATTAGACATATTGCTTGTGGCACCATGGCTTGCACCTGTCAAAGTTCTACAATATTAGCACATGCAAATTGCTCTCATTAATTGTAATCAACCCTCATGTGCAGTGTACATAACCTTTTATTTACTAATGATGCATAAAGTTAAAACTGCCAAACACACGATGTGACAAACTGATTAAAGTAAACAACTTGAAAAATACAATAAAAGTGTGAAAACTGAAACTTTCAAATACCTTGAATTACTAACAAAAGTTCTGCAGCATTTTGATGGTTATTCAAAGCTGAGTTCTTGTGCTGAATCAGGAGTCTCCTTTATTCAGTGTTTGCAATGATGTTGTATATGATTTGGCACATCATCATATTACAGAAACTTAATGTATGTTGAAAAACATTTGGATATCTTTATACCTCGGACTGCTATTTTCTTTTATGTATATATTCCTTCTAATCTTCTTATGGTGGAAATTACATAATTGCCCTCACATATTCACCAACATACTTCACAAATCACTTAGGATTGTTAAGGAAGACAAACCTTGAAAAACATACATCATCAAGTGCAAAATAATCCACATCTCAATGTTTATTGTGCACCTGAAGATGGCATACTAACTTGCAGAAATGTACTTTTCTTCAGTCATCACATCCTATTATCAGTTCATTTAATTTTGTGTATAATTCTTACAGGGTTCCTTAATTTAGGTAAGTAGTATAATTATCTTGTGATAAGACAATTGTAAACACACGCACATATATATATATATATATATGTTAATCAGCTGTAAATGATCAAAACAGATACTTCATTAGCTCTTCTTGCTTGCTCAATGAGACATTTTCTCAAACCCTGTGAGAGAACACAGCACTTCTAATCTTTAACTGGTTCCTCATGCAGTACTCACTTCTTTAACCGATTTGTAATTTTAGTGGGCTGTCTACTATCACAAATTTGTTTAAATATAAAAGCAATTCAGCAATAATAAGCATGTAGAACTAGGAAAATATGTAAACTAGTTAGTCAGTAACCTAATTTTAATACAAGCTATAAATGCTAACTGTATCACTTTTAAAAGAAAAAAACAAATTGCAATGTTTTACTAAGCCAATTATACTGTCTCCTATTCCACACTAAAGATTACTCAATACTATAAAATTTAAACAATGAAACTTAAAGACTATTTAAGATTCACCCTAAAGACATTAAAATAAATAAAAACAAACATATTAAATATCTAGAAGTCTGAAAGTGGTTAAAAAACTGAGATAAAAAAGTGCATGAAAATTAACAGGTTAAAAAACCTTTTACCAACAAATAACTATCTCTATATTTTATAATGGAAGTGAATACTTTACCTGGTTTCTCATCACTGTGATTTAGTAAATCACTTAAATCGTCAGACAGTGAAGATGTCACAGAGATGTAACTGTTTGGTCGAGATTGACTAGCAATCAGGTTATTAGTTGAGAGAGATATCGTGTTACAACAAAGTTGATGGGTTTCATGAAAAAACTGCAGCTGTTCTCTTGATGAACCATGTTTTTCCTGCAACTGCATTTGTTCTTCCTTTTCTGTCACAAATGACTAAATAAAGAAAAGATGAGCTCTTAGTGCTTTTCTCAAACTCAATTTCCTCTGCCATGACTGACTTCACATATCCACCCACCACTATTCACAGAAACAAGTAACACTGCACCCTGACTTCAGATATCCACCCACCACTATTCACAGAAACAAGTAA